TTTTTGAGCAATGAGCACATCCTCCTGATGCAGCATCTGTTTAACTAGAATGTTTCTTGAAAAACATTTTGATTGTGATGTTTTGGAAAATGATCAGCTACGAGCTGTGAACATTAAAAGGCTGAGAACACAGAGGGGAAATAGTTTGCATGAGAGTGTGTTTACTCCTGATGACACCTGGCTTGTTGGATAAATGTAAGCTTATTCATAGTCTAATAGATGTTCTGGAGTAAAACTGCAAACCTCTTAGTGGTGAGCTCAAACTGTGGCATAAGTACAGAAAGCAAGAGACATGCTTGGAAAAGAGCAAAATGCATGACCAGATAATGGATGCAAAATGAAAGAATCTGAAAGGTTTAAGGTACCAGAAATTTGTTTCAGAATGGGATTTTGCACAGTTTTGCAACACCGTGAACAGCCAGTAATCTCAGATGCTTAATTTCGATGGAGCAGCAGAAAAAGAAACAACCCCCAAACACTTTTCATTGAGCTGCTGGGTTCAGGAAGTTCTGTGCATTTAGACATCCATGTTCTGAAATGCTGCCTAAAATTGCATATATTTTTATGCATAATGGCATTACCTGCAAGCACTACAATACTATGAATATTGCCCCAGTCGTGAGGTTGGGACCTCAGTGCTAGCAGACAGTGGCAATAAGATGTACAGGCATGATTCTCACTTGTTAAGTAGCCTAGGTTTGTGGCAAGAATCACAATTTGGGATGATTCTCCTAACATTCTGAGTAGAATTCAAGGGCTTTGCTAAAGAGACAAGTCAGGCTGCAGTGCTGCGGGGAGCTTTAATCTATGCTATTAGAAATTCAGTAAAACTCAACGTGACTGAGATGAGCTGAAGCCACTTAGAGTCTTGAAAATGTTACCTATCATGATGAAGACAGTAATTACAAATGTTAAATATTTGCATTAAAAATTGTTCTAAATGTTATTCTTTCCTCTAGTAATGAGCCTCTCGAATTTCAGATCAGTCAGGTCTGTGTATAAGGTGGGCAAAGGGAATCTATCACAGCTTCTCCTTTGTTTTATTCAGTGTTGACTTGGATGGTGTCCACAGGAGGTTTCTGTGTCTGTGAACTCCCACTCCTCTCGCAAAGCAGACAGTCTCACCCACATTGCCAGCCCAGCAGCTCTGTACCCGGGTACGCGCTGCCCCCAGGCTATGCCACAGCATGTGCTGTCGGACACGGTTATGGGCAAGTAAGCATCTAACACTTCAACAATACAGACAACTCCAAAACAGTGTATGAGCACAGTGCCTGGCCATGTAGCTTAAAAATACAGCTATAGGGCTCGTGGTACCAATGGTTCTCTTTCACGACTCCCGCAATGGGGAGCAGAGCCCCTGCCAGCTGGTGGGGTACTCACAGCAGCGGCATCTGCACACTGGGTACAGAAGCTCAGGCAATAAATAGTGAACCCGGTACATAAAGTCCCTGTGCAATCCTCAAACTCCTGTGCTTTCTGAAAGCAGAAGGGTGTGAGAGCTGGGGAAGGAGCTCCACAGAGCTCTAGCCAATGTCCCAGTGGTTTGGCTGCACTGTTACTCCTCTTGTCTGTGGGAGGCCGGGTCAGCTCCAGCAGAGAGATTCAGAGCTAGGCACTTCCTACTTTCCTAATTGTTCCTAATTAACACATTGGGGTTTGGGCCAGACCCTAATTGCAGAGCTGTCATTTCCCTGGCACGGGGCTCCAGTCAGTGCTGTGGCTGAGACGGAGGAGGCAGGGAGGGCAGAGAAGCACCGACTCCAGGAGACCCCTCGGAGGGAGGCAGAGCACGAGGCCAGAGTCACCGACCCGACTCAGAAGGAGCCCGAAGCCGGGGTGTGACGTACCCCTCTTCAGTTTTGGGACTTGGCTGTAGACGCCTCTATGAAGCTTGCTGACAGGAGCTCCTGCTGGGCAGCCATACTCACCACACTTTGGGATGAGGTTCTGTTGGTTGGTGTGGCCAGGAAGAGAACCCAGGAGCCCCGAAGGCTTGATGGCTGAATTCTGCCACTGGTGTTCAGGGGGTGAGTCTTAAATCCTTGCTTTGGTTTCCGTTTCTTTATGCCAAGCAGAAGACTTGCAGCCCTAGGAGACACAGAGAGGAAGTGTAGCCACGTAGGGAGTAGGGTACAAATTGTGTTGCCTGGTAATACCTCTGGGCTTTGAGAGACTGGACTGGATCTGGCAAAGCAGGAGTCACCACAGCCTCCCTTTCCTTGGGTGTAAGTGTGCTAAGGAACAGACTCTGCAGAAGGCTGCTGTCTGTCATTCCTCGAGGGACTTTGTCTTCCAGTTTAATGCTGCCATCAGAATCGGAATGATGCTCAGGGCTGGTGGGGATAGTGAGCCAGGAGAGGCCAAATACTTGTCTGATGTGTGCTACTGGAGCCAGTCCTTCCCCTCTCTGAGAAGAGGGCCTGCTCCTCAGGATGTTGTCTTGGGGGTCTTTTTGAGCTTTTTCTCGGGAGTCATTGGACTGTGCTGTACCTTGGACCAGGGATCTAAGCCATGAAATATCAGAAACGTGAAAGGTGTGTACCAGAAGAGGCTAAGCTGGGTGGAAAGTGAAGAATGTTAAAAAAAAAAAAAAAAAGCAGGGCCAGCAAAACCCTCACAATTTGACTTTGGTTTCAAATGGAAACCATGCCGAAATATTATTAAATCTATTAAGCTATTTAAATTATTGAGCTTCTAACTTTTTTTTTTTTGTTTTAATGACCCAATTTGGAACCCCCTTCTTTCTTTTCCTTTCTTGGCTACAGGAGTCTTGCACGATGAAGCAGAAGTTCCCAAGCTGGGAACTTGTGCCTTGACACACCACGAATGTCCTGTTACACGATTGCTACCTCAGCAAAAAGGCAACCATTTTTGTGTCATTTAGCAACCGTTGGTGCTGTTGACAGCACAGACTTCTACCTGTTGCCACTTAAGAACAGGAGGAGCTGGATGATGAGGGCTCTCCCTTTTCTGAAGACCCTCACTTTGCAGAACAACATGAAATGCTCAAGTGAATGGGGTGGATTCGACTGGAAGCCACCCGTTTCCAGGCGTGCTGAAGGCAGCAGTGTGTTCAGACCTCCCTCAGATGGCTGCAAGCCAGCAAGTGCCTGGCACAGGTGGGAGTTGCACAAGCAGGTGGAACGACCATTGGTGCTCTGAAGAGGTCTTTGACCCGTGCTGTTCTCTTGTACCACAGGCCAAAGGCCTTTGGGGGGCTTAACCTCCTGGTCAAGGTGGGTCCCGTCAGAGCAGGCCCCCAGCTTGTGATGAGGAGCGTTGAGAGGCTCATCTGGCCCATCAGCAGCATGGCTGCCTCTCCCCCACCTCTGGCACCTTGTGTGCCTTCTCCTGTTGAGAATCCCCACTCGCCTGCACCTGGAAGAGGCAGGGCAGGGTTGGGAATGTGAAGAGCATGATCACACAGAGATGTTGCTGCAGCACCGTCTCCAGTCAGCGAGGCAGCATTTCAGAGAAGTGGAATACATAAGCCCTTAGTCTGGTGCAGATATGTTTGAAGAGACAGAAGTACAAAAATTTATGTGGAAGGACATGTGTTATCTGGTGTCTGTATGGGTATAAATTTGTGTTGTGATGAATGTATTAATTAGTCAAAATGAAGACGTATTTAGGAGTTTGCAGGAGTTCTCTTGCATTGTACACAGGTGTAGGACTGTGGACTGCAACTGAAACTTGATTGCTGCATGTGAACAAAGGCTTTCCTGGCTCAGCATAGCATTGCTCTTTTCTGTAACACATAGAATCAGGTTGTTCAGGTTGGAAAAGACCCTTGGGATCATCGAGTCCAACCATCAACCCCACTCTACAAAGTTCTCCCCTACACCATATCCCCCAACACCACATCCAATCGACTGTTAAAGCACATCCAGGGATGGTGACTCAACCCCCTCCCTGGGCAGCCTATTCCAATCTCTGACCACTCTTTCTGTGAAGAATTGTTTCCTAATGGCCACTCTAAACCTACCCTGTTGCAACTTGAAGCCATTCCCTCTTGTTCTATGGCTAATTACCTGTGAGAAGAGACCAGCTCCAACCTCTCTACAATGGCCTTTCAAGTAGTTGTAGAGAGTGATGAGGTCTCCCCTCAGCCTCCTCTTCCTCAAACTAAACAGTCCCAGCTCCTTCAATCATTCTTCATAAGGTCTGTTCTCCAGGCCCTTCACCAGCTTCGTTGTCTCCTCTGCACCCCCTCCAGCACCTCCAGATCTCTCTTGGATTGAGGTGCCCAAAACTGGACAATGCTCGAGGTGTGGCCTCACCAGTGCTGAGTACAGGGGCACAATCACCTCCCTCCTTCTGCTGGTCACACTATTTCTAATCCAAGCCAGGATGCCATTGGCTTTCTTGGCCACCTGGGCACACTGCTGGCTCATATTCAGTCGCTTGTCAATTAGAAGCCCCAGGTCCTTTTCTGCCAGGCAGCTCCAGACACACTTCCCCAAGCCTGTACCAATGCAGGGGGTTGGTGTGGCCCAAGTGCAGGACCTGGAACTTGGTCTTGTTGAACCTCATCCTATTAACGTTGGCCCATCGATCCAATCTATCCAAGTCTCTCTGTAGAGCCTCCCTGTCCTCATGCACTTGATCGCAACACTCCTGCTTAACTTGGTGTCATCTGCAAACCTACTGATGACACGCTCTGTGTCCTTATCAAGATGAGTCTGAATTACAACTACTGAAGCAGACAGACTGCAGAATTTTCATTAGCTTGGATTATTTGTCTCGTAATGTAAGAAGAAAAATAGTCCAACTTGGTCTGCGTTCTCATGTAATAAATCACATGCTCTAGCATGCCTGAAATGAAGGAGGGCACCCAGTAATTTTTAGAGAAATACTGCACTGTTTTCACAGGAAGGTGTTTGGGAATTTCAGATAAATATTATGATAAATGATATGGGGAAAGGGTGTATTACTTCATACCGTGCCTTGAATCAGCCTCTAGAACCTGGTTATGACTTTCACGGGTGAAAGACATCTTTGTGTTAACAAACTGTATTTATTTGGAATAAGGCATGGTGCTGATGCATACTTGATAATCAATGTAACAAGGCTGTATTATTTCAGGCACTCACTATGAAAGCACACAAAACTGAGTGTTCATTAGAGCACTTTTTTTTAAATTTGAAAAGATAAATTGAGGTGAAACAGGCCACCCACCTGCTCTATAAATTGCTTCTTGCAAGACACCTTTGCTCAGGGACGAGTCCAGATTAACATATTCTCAGGCAATGCCTTTGCACTCACTCTGTGCTGTCCAAAAACGGGCTTTGTGGGAATTCCTGTCTGCCTCAGCGCCAGGAGATGGAGGCGACACCATGGACAGCCAAAGCCCTTCAGACTTGTAGAGCTGTGGCTGTGCTTTGTTAACACTCCCTGTTATACAGCTGCTGCAGGTGGGGGAGACACCCTTAGGTGAGCTTGGCAATGGTGGCCTGGGAGCACGTGTCTCAGTTCAGCTCTGGATCAAACCAGCTCAACTATGCTCAGCACATGTTCTGTTTTCACCTGTGCCACTGGGAAATGAGAGTAATTTTTTGCTTTTCACTGGGTGCTTCTCTGGCCCACGACTGCATCAAACTTGACATCAGTCAGCTTCTTCAGAACATTCAGGGCACGTTCTGGAAACAACCTGAAAGAGATAATAAAATGAAATGAAACGTAGGATAAGTGACTTCAACTATGGGGAAAAACTGGAACTGCAGCTGAAGGAAGAGCTGGTCTGGGAGCAGAATGTGTGCACGCACATGGCCTGAGACCAAGACATTTAAGGCATTATTTCCAAAGTATTTGTAGCCCTCATCGATATATGAATAACGTTAATTCCATCTCCTTTTATGACAACTCCAGGACAGGTATGTACTGGGCAGTATTTGGGTTGCAATATTGCTGCAGGATCCAGGAAGTTTTAATATTGAACACAGATGCATGCATTTGCTTTCTCTTTGCTTTCAAAAGTTTACATGGTTAAATTGGGGAATCTTGGAGGGGAAAAAAAAAAAAAAAAGGACCAGACATCTTTACACCTCTTCAGAAAAAGAAATATGGAAATATCTATTCTGGTTAGATCCAAATTTACTGGCATTCACAAACAGGAAATTACTAAGTGTTTCATGAGATCCTCTAGAAATTAACTGAAAACTTAATTTAGTTGTTCTGAAGTTAATTCTAGGTTTGGAACCTGAAGTCTGATGAAGACACCACCTCGATAGAGCAGCTACACTGGACATTAAAGACATCTGGGAGGACAAGTCTTGCTTCACACAGCAGAGCTAAGCAATAGAGCCAATTTAAAGCAATTTTCCCACTCTGTGACCTCAATCTTTGATGTTGAAGTGAAGAAAAAAATACTAATAATCAGCAGGTCATCGTCTCTTTCTGAAACTTCTCTAAGGCTGCTGTTCCAGAGAAAATGTTGTTTGCAGGCAAAAGGGAAACAGCAATCTGTGAAGAAAAAGTGTTCTTTAGTACTCTCCCCCCCTGCCAAATGAGCCTGAAGAGCAGTCAAGTTCTCCACTGAGAACAGCTAGCTGCAGAAAGTGTATCATAATGACCTATGAGAGGACTCAACAAAATCTTTCTATGGATGATGTCTGTGGTTGTAAGTAGAAAAAATCACTGTACTATTTGGTTAGCTTTCTGATGTGTTCTAAAATAAAACGTAATCCTGACTCAAAAGTTACAAGTTTGTAAATCAAGGCTTGTACACTCAGCAAGATTTGATAGATGTAGGGATGTTTTTCTTTGGGTGGTTTTTTTTCCTACTTACCTTTCAAAGAGTAAAGCAACACGTTGATTTGATGGAACAAAAACCATTTTCTGGTTGGTCAGTATTCCTTCCATCAGGGCCTCGACAACTTCTTCAATCTCCAAAATCTTTCCAAGCCTACACAGGAAAGCATATGTGTAAGAGCTACGGCGGTAAAACATGGGTGGTACTAGCTGATGTAGGGGGTTTTGCATATGCACAAACTCAGGGAAGTCAAATGCAACCATCACGTGGGTTAAAGGACAATGCAGATTTTCTTTATCTCAAGCTGTATACCAATTTATTTCTGGTTTCATATAGTCCCTTGGAGTACAAGGCCTAAAGCTGGGGCTAATATGTAGTGCCTTGATGCAAAGAAGGAAGGACAGGAAAGCAGAGTTGTCATAGTTACCTTGTACTGGGGTTTTTGACAAACCCCGTGTTTATAAAAACTGGACAAAGACACGTAGTTTTTATCCCATCCTTTCCCAAGGTAGACAGCTCCTCTGTCAGAGCCTTGTGAAATCCAACCGCAGCAAACTTGCTTGAACTGCAGGAGGGGAAAAAGCACCAATGAGAAGGCAGAAATACTCTTTTTAACTTTCTGCACCTGGAAATGGCCTCAAAAGTCACACAGCACTGACTTGGAGGCAAAAAACCGTAACCCAGCGGAGAAGAAAAGGCAGGGAAGAATTCTAACTTCCCCCGTGCCAGAGTGCCCTGTGCTGGAGGAGATATTGCTGCTTGGGGGAGTAAGTGTGGGATGCAGAGCGGGTGTCATTCGGGAAAAGCTGCCTTAGTGGTGAACAAAGGAATGTCAGGAGTTCTTAGGAAATGGTAACTCCTGTGCATCAATCGATGGACTTCCTATTTTTCCCTCCTCTTAGGAGGCATTCAGCTTCAGTCTGTAAAATGAAGAAGGATGGGCAGAGTAGAAATGGAAAAAAAATCTACTTTTTCTCATACCACACAGGATGGTTGTGTGACAGTTGCATATGAGTTTTGAAATAGAGGAGAAGTATCCATGGAAAACTTGAGAAACATATTGCTTCAGAAACTGGAACAGGCCAGGAGTATAAACCAACTCCAAAGCAAGCAAAACCAGGGATTCCCTTTATTGACTGCTGTTGATTGGGATGGTGGAATCCCAGTAAAATCCCGGGCTGGGAAGTTCTGGCCTTGCCAACTCTGAGAAGGGTTCCCAAGGGAAGACTGCTCTGCCTGGAGCTGCTGTTACAGAGCGCTAGATCGGATGCAGAATGACAGTGTGCAATCCAACAGTTTTTCTGTGCTTTTCTAGATGTGTTTCAAGTAGAGAAGCAATTTTATCTCACGATGGCAGAAGTATTTCTATACACGAGTCACTACCACAATGGTAGAAAGACCAAAAGCTACTCATGAGGAGTTTACTTGACAACACGACCACAACTCACAGAAGTGCTACGTTCTAAGGAGGAGAATGGAAGGGGATACCTTGGTTGCTAAGCAAAAGTCTGGATCAGTGAGGGAGAGAAAAAAGGAGAAGCTTGCATTAGTTGATGTGTCTCACGTGGCCGTTCCTTCATCCAAGCATTGCTCCTGATTTAGTCAGAGCTAAGAAACAAATCCATGGCAACTTCCAGGCATCCTTAAGTACTGGCTGCTGTGCTTTTTTCTACCTCGGCATGGTCCTTTGGACACACTGTATTCAGTGGAATCATTATTTTGGTCACTCTGTGCTTGCAGATGGCGAATTAAAGACGCAATTAACAAGAAAATAAAAAAAAAAAATTGAGAGGATTTTAAAATCACTTACCAATAAGCTACCATGAAAGAAGTCACAAGATGACCTGCTGCCGAAGCAACTGTGACAATGTGACCGTGGTTGTTGTTCATCATGGTTGGCAGGAAAGCTCTTGTGGTCTTAAAAGTCATTAAAACCAAGAGGCAAAAATGTGGGGGGAGACAAGGGAGGAGGAAAAGAACAATGTTGTTTTAGACATATTTGACACTGACCATGACTATCATTAATTAAGCAACTAATGCTACATGCTGCACAGCCCCTCAGATTCCGAGTGCCACAGAGATACCCATTTTCCATTCAGGTGGTACAGCTGGCAACCTATTTTTCATATGGGAATGTTTCAGAAAGTTGGCTCTAAAGAGGAGCCGATGCTCACATCTTTCCTACACTGCCTTTTAGGCTAGAGGTGTCTGGCGGCAGCGCTGCCGGTGTCTCGCTCCAGCACGTACAATAAAACAGTCATCAATCTGCAGCTTCTCTTTTCTTCTGCTGCAAAGAAGAAGTCCATAACAACCAAAACCCTCCCACTCTGTAAGCCCTGCTGACAGCTGCCCTACCCCAGGGGTCAGCTGTGGACCTGCCAAGGAGCCAGGACCCAGCTGTGTCACCTCGGCTCAGACTGCTGGCAGAAAGCTGGGAGAAAGTCTGCAGGGAGGTGAGAGAGGTGGCAGTCACAAGGACAGGCAGGGATGGTGGGAGAGGGGCTCGGAAGCAGCTCGTGGAGCCAGGAGGGAAGGCGGGGACACACCGCGAGGGGAAGAGCACCCCGGGAGATGGGCCTGGGGGCTGCAGTCTGGGGGGGCCAGTCCTCGCTCTGCCCCGTGGCCGGGCTCTGCTGAGAGCTGCGGGGCTGTGCCTGCCCTGCTCTGCCCGACCTGCACCTGCCTGGCCATCTGGGGCATGTGCCAGCTGCCTTCTGTGTGGGTCAGCTGATAAAAACATTGCTATGTAGTTTTCCCCCGTCTATTTTCTAGTTGCAGGGTGTGGGTGCTCAGCTGTGGGTGCCCAAACTACCCAGTGCAATGAGGATCCCTGGAACACCTCCCACAGAGACCAACCCACGCTCGCATGAAGCCAAAATGAAAAAACTGGGCCAAGCTCAGATCAGCAAGAGGGCAATCAAGTTTCCCAACAGTCCGTCTAGCTGGGTGCCCCTGTGCTATACACGCCCAAAAGATGCCTTTGTCGTCCACTGGTGGCTGAAAAGAATTGTGAGTCTAAATATGCTTCCTCAGGGGTGCCCAAACTACCCAGTGCAATGAGGATCCCTGGAACACCTCCCACAGAGACCAACCCACGCTCGCATGAAGCCAAAATGAAAAAACTGGGCCAAGCTCAGATCAGCAAGAGGGCAATCAAGTTTCCCAACAGTCCGTCTAGCTGGGTGCCCCTGTGCTATACACGCCCAAAAGATGCCTTTGTCGTCCACTGGTAGCTGAAAATAGTTGTGAGTCTAAATATGCTTCCTCAAAAATGCTCCCAGAGAAAGGTAAATACAAAGGTGCTAGTGACACTTACCCACATGTGAGCCAGAATGTTGACTTCAAACATCCTTTCAATCTGGTGGTCCTGAGTTGAGAGCAGGTCGGCAGCTGTAATCACACCAGCGTTGTTCACCAGGATGGAGACATCCCCAATGTCCTTCTTCACCTTTTGGGCAGAAGAAAATCAGAAAGGCGCGGTGTCTCGCTCCAGCACGTACAATAAAACAGTCATCAATCTGCAGCTTCTCTTTTCTTCTGCTGCAAAGAAGAAGTCCATAACAACCAAAACCCTCCCACTCTGTAAGCCCTGCTGACAGCTGCCCTACCCCAGGGGTCAGCTGTGGACCTGCCAAGGAGCCAGGACCCAGCTGTGTCACCTCGGCTCAGACTGCTGGCAGAAAGCTGGGAGAAAGTCTGCAGGGAGGTGAGAGAGGTGGCAGTCACAAGGACAGGCAGGGATGGTGGGAGAGGGGCTCGGAAGCAGCTCGTGGAGCCAGGAGGGAAGGCGGGGACACACCGCGAGGGGAAGAGCACCCCGGGAGATGGGCCTGGGGGCTGCAGTCTGGGGGGGCCAGTCCTCGCTCTGCCCCGTGGCCGGGCTCTGCTGAGAGCTGCGGGGCTGTGCCTGCCCTGCTCTGCCCGACCTGCACCTGCCTGGCCATCTGGGGCATGTGCCAGCTGCCTTCTGTGTGGGTCAGCTGATAAAAACATTGCTATGTAGTTTTCCCCCGTCTATTTTCTAGTTGCAGGGTGTGGGTGCTCAGCTGTGGGTGCCCAAACTACCCAGTGCAATGAGGATCCCTGGAACACCTCCCACAGAGACCAACCCACGCTCGCATGAAGCCAAAATGAAAAAACTGGGCCAAGCTCAGATCAGCAAGAGGGCAATCAAGTTTCCCAACAGTCCGTCTAGCTGGGTGCCCCTGTGCTATACACGCCCAAAAGATGCCTTTGTCGTCCACTGGTGGCTGAAAAGAATTGTGAGTCTAAATATGCTTCCTCAGAAATGCTCCCAGAGAAAGGTAAATACAAAGGTGCTAGTGACACTTACCCACATGTGAGCCAGAATGTTGACTTCAAACATCCTTTCAATCTGGTGGTCCTGAGTCGAGAGCAGGTCGGCAGCTGTAATCACACCAGCGTTGTTCACCAGGATGGAGACATCCCCAATGTCCTTCTTCACCTTTTGGGCAGAAGAAAATCAGAAAGGCGTGTGTCATTTGGTATTACAAAAAAAAAAAAAGAAAAAAAAAGGCAAGGCTGTGGAAAATGAGGCACAGTTAATTTAATTCTTAACACTCTTGCTTTTAGGGAGAGGAAGATCGTGCTACGCTTCCAGACGCAGTAGGAAGTGTGCAGAAGTAACCATGAAATCTGGTTTAAATCTGATGCTTCTCCCTGAATTGCTGCCAGTGTGTACAGTCTGCCACGTGTTGCCCACAGACACGGCACGCTCTGTGTAGTCACGGCTGGGCCAACGGACGTGCAGACTGTTTTGAGGCAGCCGGACCATATCCTTTACAGGGAAATGTTTCAAATGTCCCCAGTGTTGTCCATGTGCTGTTCAGGAAACTAAAAAGGCAGAAGTTCCTCCAGGAGCCAGACTTTTAAAGAGCAAACTTGGCAATGAGGCGTGATATCCCAGAGACTCACAAAAGAGGATGAGACTGGCTGTGGTCTCGGAAGGGCTACTTCACTCTCCATACAGAACGCAGCCACAAGCTGCCAAGGGCTTGTATCTGTGGTCTCGGAAGGGCTACTTCACTCTCCGTACAGAACGCAGCCACAAGTGGGGAGATCCCAAGGGCTTATACGGTTTGCATACAATACCTCTTGTTTTCCTGGTGATTCTGAAAATCGAGCACGTTTGGGTAAGCCTCTGGGTGTGCCCCTGCCCCCGTACCTTCTCTGCAGCGCTGTAGATTTCCTCCCTCTTGCTGCAGTCCACCACAAAGGCTCCAACAGTGGCTCCCAGCCTTTCGCATTCTGCTGCCGTGTCCTCAACGCCATGCTGCAAGAGGCAGAAAAGAAAGACACACGTGTCAACTGCACCCTGCCCACGTGTTGCTGCTTGGGCACCGCAGCCGACTAGTTAGAGCCTGAGGATTTGTCCCCATCACGTAACCGCTGCCAGGGCCCTGAACGGTTCATGGCTGCCCAGGGACAGAGCTGGGGTCCGTGGGAGGACGAGTCTTTCCAACCTCCAATTCCGGGTGGAGTGCCTGGCAGGAGGGGAATGTGGCAGCAAGAGCGAGTTTGCCTTGGTGAGGCATAGGGAGCTCGGCTGCAGAGAGGGGGCACTCGGAGACTTTCTCAGCACAGCTGACAGACACCGTGACGGTAAAGCAGAGCTCTTAAAACACGGGCCCAGCTGACAGCCCCGACAGATGGAAAGTGCCCTGTGCACCCCTGTATTTACAGGCTGGAGGGGAGAAGGCAGATGTGCTCCAAAGCACACAGCGTAGAGGGATGTTTCTGAAAAGAACAACAGTTGGACACATGTAGAGCAGAAGCTCCCCTAAGTCATTACATCAACCCAGCGAGCGAGGGCCAAACTGACTTTGCTGCAGCCTTGTCCCTGGGCGCCAGAGAGCCGTGCCAACGGGGACCTGTTCTGTGAAAAGCCCCAGTTCACAATTGGCCTGGGACAGAAGCTGTGCAAGTCCCTGGGGTGGATGACTGGGCAGCTCTAGCTGCTGCTTAAGGCTGATGGCCCCCAGGAACGAGGCCTTTGCCAGGGCAGGGGGACCGGGGAAACAAACTCCTAAAACCTTTGGCACCCACCACCTCCCTTGGCATTGTATTTCAGTGCCTGCTTACACCCACCCTTGCCATGTACTTCCTTGTACCAAAGCCAGGTCTCGCATGCTACTAAATTTATTCCTGTTTCCCCCTTTCCAGTCAACACAGACAACACAACAGCAGCCCTTCACCCATGGAGAGACTGGCACCATGCCTCCTCCCACCCCTCCAGAGCGGCCTCAGCTGTAACGGGTGGCATCACACACTGAATATATTCAGCAATGTCCTCCCTGATCACGCATTCCCTTATGCTAGGCTTGTCCTGGTTTTGTTTGTTCCTTTGTTTGGGATGGGCTGTTTTTTCATCAGCTTCGGCATGACACGAGGAACTCCTCTGCGGTTTCTGATCCACGGTGTCAAAATCCTTTCCCGCACGCTGCCGCCCAGCACTCACCCCCTCTGCACAGCCCGTGGCTCCCACGCACACCGCTTTGCCTTGGTCCCTACTGACTGATCCTCTGCGTGTTTGTACCTGTCCATCCTCCGCTTGCCAAGGCCTTTTTGCGCTCTAGTGAACTCAGCTGAACTAGAGCTTGGGCTAGTGCCCCGGAGGGCAGGAGGGCTCACACACAGCACAGCGCAGTGCTGCCTGTCAACAGGA